CATATTTATTATAATTTATCACCCCCTAAAACCGCCTGGAGGATTGTTATCAGAACTTCCTGAATTTTTATCTACTCTGGTTTTAAATTATGACAGAATTGTTCTTTGTGGCGATTTCAATATTCATGTTGATGACCCCACCAATGTTAATGCAACTGACTTTTTAAATATGACCATGTCTTTTAACGTCAAACAACATGTCAAAGGGAAAACCCATAACCGTGGTCATACACTGGACTTGGTTTTTACCCTGGGTGTCAGCATTTCCTCTGTGGAATTAGCGGACATGACCATATCTGACCACAGATGTATTGTTTTTAGCTGCGATTCGCCTGTTACTCATGCCGCCTCACCAAGCTCCGTGTTCTCGCATCTTTAATGAACAAAGTGTTTCAAAGTTTTGCGCATTCTTTCAGAGCCAAAGCCAACACCTGTCTGATTCCAACACCAACAACCTGGTTGATCACTTCAATCATATCTGCTTGTTTTCACTAAATATTACTGCTCCTCTAAAGTTAGGCCTATGTCTAAAACTAGTAAGCAACCTTGGATAAATGACAGCATTCGCAGTCTAAAAAGGGAATGCAGGAAAGCAGAGTGCAGATGGAAAAAATCCAGTCTCCAAGTCCATTACCTCAGTCTGAAGGATTTATTAATTAACTACAATAACATGGTTAAGGATGCGAGAACACACTATTTTTCTGAACTCATTACTACACATAAACACAATCCCAGGTTTCTGTTTAAGACTGTGGCTCAGATGGTAAACCCAACCCCTCCTTGTGCCTCAGCTGGAAGTAATGATGACTGTGAATTGTTTTTATCTTATTTTACCGATAAGGTGGTGTCAATCAGAGCCTCTATTACCCCCACAGCCTCTTACTCAGAGGTTCCTCACCAGCAAGAGAGTTTTAACCAGTTTTATCCCATCGACTTGTCTGAGCTTTTAAAAACAGTATCACAAATGAGAGTGTCCTCCAGCCCACTTGGTGTAATACCTATAAAGTTTTTACTGAAAGTAATGGATTCTGTTGGGCCCCATTTGATCTCTGTTTTTAACAGCCCTCTATCTACTGGTTGTGTCCCTGATTATTTTAAAACGGCTTGCGTGAACCCACTTTTAAAGAAACCTGGTTTAGATCCCTCCCTCCCCCATAATTTTAGACCAATTTCAAAACTGCCTTTTATTGCAAAGCTTTTAGAAAGAATTGTGTCCAAACAGCTGCTCACTGTACTGGAAAATAAATTATTTGAGAAGTTTCAGTCTGGTTTCAAGAAGTACCACAGCACTGAGACTGCCCTGCTTAAAGTCACCAATGACCTTTTAATGTCTGCTAATGAAGGCATGTGCTCAGTGCTGGTACTCCTGGACCTTAGCGCTACTATTGATCACAACATCATGTTAGACAGACTGAGGCACTGGGTGGGGATCTCTGGTACGGCCCTAGAATGGTTTTCATCCTACCTGTCAAATAGGAAGTTCTGTGTGTCTGTAAACAACTACGTCTCTTTGTTCTGTCCAGTTAAATACGATGTGCCTCAGGCAGGTATTACAAATACTGCCATCTGCTGGTTCCCTAGTAAATCACATTAAGCCTGTTGCAAAGAACCTTGGTGTTTGGTTTGATAGTAATTTAAATTTCGAGCAGCACACCACAAAGCTTGTTCAATTATGTTTTTACCAACTTAGAAATATAGCAAAAATTCGATCTATGTTAACTTTTAAGGACACCGAGACCATTTTACACACCTTCATCTCATCATGCCTGAATTATTACAACAGCCTTTTCACCTTTTTAACCCAAAAATCTATTGATCAACTCCAGACTGTCCAGAACCCAGCTGCCAGGCTTTTAACCAGAACAAAGAAATATGACCACATAACCCCTGTGTTAGCTTCATTACACTGGCTCCAAGTATGTTTTAGAATTGACTTTAAAACCCCATTAAAGTCCCATACACACCAGCACGTACCTTGAGATCCTCGGGCAGAGGTCTGTTGTCTGTTCCAGAGTCTTGACTGAAAACTAAAGGGGACAGAGCGTTTGCTGTCAGGGCCCCGAGGCTCTGGAACAGCCTGCCCGAGGAAATCAGGTCGGCTGAGTCAGTGAACTCTTTTAAGTCCCTTCTTAAAACATACTTTTATAGGAGAGCCTTTCCCGATCTTATTTGACTTTATTTTATCCCTTTTATTTTATATTTATCTTAAACGTGTATTTTAGTCTTTTCAATGTTTTCTTGCTTTTATCTTGTATTGTTTTTGTATTATTGTCTTTTGGGTATTATTGTCTTTACACTTGTTAAAGTACTTTGTAGCTTGTTTTTGAAAAGTGCTCTACAAATAAAGATTATTATTATATTATTATTATACAAGGTAGGGGGTTGGTGAGGTTCTCTCGTCTTTCCAAGTCAAAATCCGACATAAGGGGGCGTTCTAGTTGAAATTTGCGACTGGGACCTTGTCAAATGCAACGCAGCGTAAGCCCCTCCCCTGAACAGTGAGTATGCAATCATAGATTAACAACTGTAACCATGCCCGGAAGGTCTGTCAAGTTTAGGATTTCTCTTCATGTTAAAACAGTGTGCATGTGTGAAAGAGAAGGATGTGTTTTTTGGCTTTTCAAAAACCAAAAATTCAACAGCAAAAGTATAAGAAATGGATTAAATGTCTGTTTGTCTATGTAAATGTAAACCGCAAATGTTAGCATTTTGAGCAAACTAGCTTACTAAAACAGTAGTAAACGAGCATCAGCAAAAACCAAGCAGCACTTCATTAGCTATTTTCTTTCTTTTGTTTGTGGGATTACAGGTTAATAAAAAAAAATTCCCCCACTGTGTGGAAGCTGGTCCTGAGTGTAAGATAACTTTAGCCTGCTCTTCATCTGGTTTGAGGAAGCTTACACTCCAGCAACCCCACTTGAACTTGTTCTCCAAAAGTATTACGTTCGCCAAATACTTGGGTTACATCTAATCATGAAAGCCTTTTCTCTCATAATTATAAACGTGAAACTTATTGTCTAACTAATATGTAAGCTACAGCTAACAGCCAAACAGGGTTATATTAGCATAAAATACAACAAACAGTCTGATCTTACATCGTCTCTTGTCATACTTACAGCATTGTTCAATGTAGAGCTAGTTAGCCTAGCTCTACACTGAACAACAATGCTGTTTTTTATTTACGTCTTCTACATGGATCATTGACTATTTAGGACCACTTTTACAGAGTAGGCTACTTGTTTTGAACGTAGACTCAGCTAGAAACATTAAAACAAAAGGGACTGAACTTGCCCTATGCATGTATGCCAAGCTATATGTGAGAGTAGGCTACACATTTCAACTTACGAATGGTGTTTTGTGCTGTAATTGTTTGTTGCACATTTTAATGCCTTGATGACATGGGGAGGATGCTCCCAGCCATTTACACCATCATGATGGGTGACAGCTTTCCGTCCAGAGCCAAAATAATCTCTAGTCCTTTCCTTAGTTTTAGGTAGCCAACGCTAAGCCCAGTGGTGGACAGTAACAGTAGTACTGTACTTAAGTACACAAGGTATTTGTTCTGAACTTGAATATTTTCTTTTCATGCCACTTTCTACTACTTCACCACATCTCAAAGGGAAATATTGTACTTTTTACTTTATCTGACAGCTTCAGTTACTTTAAAAAAAAAAGCTTTTTACACACAAAATGCACGAATAGTTTAAAAAATAGGATGTTTTGATATAAATTAAATTACTTAACAGTTTATAGAAGTCCAGCTAGTAGAACTACGTCAGTTAGGGTAATTGACAGAAATTTAATTGGCAACTGTTTGGTATTAGTCATTTTTTGTGTAAAAACATTTCATGGTTCCAGCTTCACAAACGTGAAGATTTGCTGCTTTTACTTGATTATTTTAATGTATTTTAAATCATTTTGATGTTTAGACTGACAAAACAAGCATTGTGAAGGTGTCACTTAGGGAACTTAGGGATAACATTTCTCACTATTTTCAGAATTTATTACCATCGATTAATGGAGAAAATAATCAGCTGATTAAAATAAAAATGCATGCATAAAATTGAAGTCTGATAGTTCAACCTCAACCAACTACATTAATGCATTGGTACTTTTTTTTTTTTTTTAAAGGATCTCTTAATTTGCTCACCACTGGCTAAAAAAGCCAAAGCTTCTGGTTGCAAAGAGGTTGGAGAGTTTTTGACTGCATCATCAATAATCCTTTAGCACATTTGGCTACAGTCTACTCCCCAACATAAGCCGCGCTCACTATCTTTGATCACAGGCAAGTGATTTCGTCCAGGAATCGTAAAATCACAATGCTGGGGGAAAGTTACCGCATCCATTGGGTCTTGCGCTTCCAACTTCCACTTCTTTTTGCACGCGCATCCATGTTGCCTGGTAACGAACGTGCTTGCGGCGGGATCACGGAATTCACCCGGAAACAACACATTTTAATTTCCGTTCGGCTATAACGGCTCTGGCATTTAGTAGGCTACAGGGAAACATATGACTGCACAAAACATGATCGTCTATTAATTGAATATAGCGGGACAATTGAGAAATACAAGGTGTGGCGTGTGAGCGTGTGAACCGGCTGAAATGCGTGTGTCTCACGGTGAATGCTCGAGACTTCAGAGCCCTGTAACTCATGGCGCTAACGTTAGGTAAATTAGTTGGTGAATAAGCTAAATCTTCCTGCAACAGTTGTCATTTCAGCCGGCAAAAGAAATGACCAGCGATTAGAAATGAAAAGCCTTCTTTTTCCAAGACATCATTATTGCACAAATGATTGAGGCTTTCAAGTGGTAAATCTCTATCACTGTAAACTATGTGTTGTGCTTGACAGGCAACAGTAACCAGGTGTGTCTTTCATTTCATCAGGTCAGAAGATTTTCTCCCAGGAGCGTCACAGTCACCCACCTGATCATATTCGGAGCCGGCTTCCAGCAGACTCTGCTGTATGGCGAACTGCAGCAGGTCCTCCTCCTCCTCCCTCATGCTGTCTCTCTGTTTGCCTCCTAGCATGGTGTATCCCGGCGGGGCCTCAAACACACATGGGGGAATCTCTCCGGCTCGACATGACACTGCAGCACACAGAGGTAAGGAAAAGGACAAGAGATGGGAAGGAGTGTTATCTAACAGTGTAGGAGATTAAAATGGACCAAAGGAGAAGTACAGAAAAGGGCAGTAATTTTCTGAATGAAAAGAAGAGAAATCCAACTCAAAACAAATTTTATCAGGTAATTTTCCTACCATACGATTGCTGCCAAAATGTAGAATATAGGCCCGTAACTCAACATAGAGCATTTCTGCAAGATAACATCAAGGATTTCCACAGAGGTTTCTTCTGAGCGATCAAACAATAAATTCTATCTCCCCTTGTGCATGGCTGCAGATTTAAACGTGGCTGTTAAACGTGGATTCTGATCAAGTGATCGGATGATGAAAGTAAGCCATAATCTCACACACAACACAAGGAACACAACCTTGCATTCAGCATCAGTGACAGATACTGCTCATAACATTCATCATGCAGCAGTAAACTCTGTTTGTGAACTGAAGTATGGCTCAGGTTCTGCAGTAAATATTAGTGGAGATTTATAAAATGGCTTGTCAGAAATAAATCGGCAGAATATAAAGTTGCTGAGACGCTGTTTGTGATTTTTGTCAGCCGAAGAAGAAGATGTAAGAAAAGATGACACTGTATGTATAGGGGGTATGTTCTCACTGGTAGAGCTGGAGCTGGAGACGCTGGAGGAGTCACTGCCCGGAGATGGGGTGTCTGTCATTGGTGGGTCCCTCTGTCCATCCCCCTCCACCACTACTTCGTTGTCAGCACGGCCGCCCGTCCCCTCCTCGCATCCGTTCAGGTTGCTGAAGGTGATCCTGGCGTTCAGGATGTGGTAGAGAGGGATCTCTGCAGGGAGAGGAGAGACGATGACATTTTTAGTATTTGTATCAGTCAACTGTGCACATCCTTCTGTTTCATTTCTTTCCATCCATCTTGCCATCTATTTATTCCCTTTACATTCTCCCATCCTCCCTTTTATTTAACCAGCCATCATTTTAACCTCCCTCCTAACTTCCATCCATCTCACTCTCCCAGCTCTCACCAATCTTGACAGGGAAGCCAGGCGGCAAGCGCAGAGTGATGAAGTCACGCAGCTTGGCGAACAGGGCGTTCGAGATTGCCATGAGATCGATGATAGGCACCACTTGTTCTGCCAGGGACAGAGGATGGGACTCGCACAACCACAATTTGGCTTTAAACCTAGAAACACACACACACACACACATTACACATGCACTCAGTGAAGATGAAGATCAGCTGATCAGAAACAAGGCAAGAGTTTGTTGATGAATATTAACAAATGCAATTCTGACTGAAGTATAATTGAAGCAGCGTATGTCTTCATTTAAGTGATTGGTTCTTTGGCCAGAGGTACACAAAGACATTCATTACTCTAACATTGACTGCCCACAAGATGCTGAGTCGTGTTCAAACTGAGGCCAACCAATTCATATATTCTGACTTGTCCGATAATGAACACGGCATTGAGAGGCAGCTCTGAAATCTCACTTCATTGTCACTTTTTATTAAGTGCCACAGAACAATGACACTGACTACTGAAAGTGACAGACAATAGTCAGTTGGAGGAACACAGGGCAGATGATTGGACGGCAGTTTGGCAGGTGGATGAGAGAAGCAGGATGTAGAAAACCAGCATCAATAATAATCAGCAATAACATAACAACTAAGTGGTTGAATCCGTCCGCAGAGACTCTGCAGGTTTACTTCATTAGAGTTTTTGTTTCTTTTAGAGCAATAGCCAAGCAAAGATGGTGTGTGTGTGTGTGTGTGTGTGTTTATTTCCCACTATTATTTGTCCGTGTTCCACCTCAGGGTCTTAGTGGTCAGCTGTCACGGACGGCTGATTTTACTCTGCCTGTGTGTGTGTGTGCCTGTCTATTCTGTCCATTAGTTTGTCAGCTCTGGCACTTGGCATTGAGTTTGGAGGGCGACTTCACAGTATGCTTGACTGCTTGTCTGTTTTCTTGACTGTCTGTGTCACCTCTGGGTCTTGGTAGTAAGCTGACACGCGTGGCCGATGTCCCTCTGAGTCGGTGATGAGCCGGGGTTAAAGTATTCCTCGGCCGTCAGCGCTGCGGGGTTGGTCACCACAGGACATGACATCTGGGTCACCAGGGCCTGCAAAACATAAATAATGAATTTTTAAAAATCCCGATGTAACCACATGTTGACATTAGAAGACAGCTGGGCTTTTACAGATCCATAATAATGAGCATATCTGCAGGGGTTGAAAGGATTGTTGATCAATACCAGTAACTGAAAGATTACTTCACAAAGTGCAAAGATATCTGGCTTTTCAAACTCACTTTCTTTTCTATTCTTGTTGTTACGGAACATAAAACTCGCCACCCACTGGGATTTCAAGGCTTTCCTCTTACCTACTGACATTTTCAAAAGCTCAGTGAAATTGAACTCTCAAGCCAAAACAAATGACAAAGCGATTTTCTTATTCCAGCATTTTACATCATTACAGCAGATGCGTCTGTTGGCTCACTGTCTAATTAGTAGCTCACTCTCAACTGTTAAAGGTCCAGTGTGTAATATTTCTGAGGAGCTAGTGATAGAAATGCAGATCCACTATAACGTTTTCAGTGGTGTATGAAGACCTTACATAGTGAACTGTTATGTTTTTATTACCTTAGAATGGGTCAGAGGCGTGTCAAGCAGGCTACAGACTCTTTTTAATGTCGTTCAGAATTTTTCCAAGTAAAAGCTCTCAATTCAACTGGAAATAAATCATTGCTGCACAAAACGTTCTTGCTTTCATGACAGAGCATCTATTTTAATTTTTTCCCGCTATCAAAGCACCATAATCTGGCCTGTGTCAGCCACCGTAGCTAAGTCTTACACACTTTACCTTTAAGTAAGACTTCAGTAAAACCTGTCAAAGGTAGGCCACCGCTACTGGAGGAGGTAGAGGCTGCCACCAGTGACTTGTGAAACAGAGGATTATTTACATGTTGTTGCAATTCCTTCCAGACAATCAATTTAGGATTTGGTAAAGTTGAAATGAAACAACATAACAACTATCTCTTGCACGTTAACACCCACTCCCCCCAAAAAAGGGTGTGTGTCTCCGTGTTGTGTAGAGAGGCTAAAGGGATACAGCTGAAAAGAGCCGAGGCGACAGTGAGGGGGAACAAGTGAAAAGACAGAATTCATAAAGAGGAGACGGAGGGAGGTATGAGTCATAGATGCTCTCCAGCAGAAACAAATTAAAAAAACATAATCAATATTTGAGAGCAAGTTGGAGCCTCTGAGTTACTGTTTTACTCCGCCGGCAAGCTCTCCTGTTGACACAGTGGATTCATACACTCATTGTCCGTCCAAACAGGGGAGGTGATGGTGCCAATGCTAATAGTGAAGATGATTATTCATTCTCTATACTGATTATTGTTACTATTATATGATGGCCACAGAATACCTGTCGAGTCTGATCATAATGTTAACACCAGCACCCATTAATCACTGTTTTGTTCCCTTTAATTTTTTATAGGGCTTGAAAAGATTTTATTAAATTTCCACGACCCATTGAGTAAAACAATGTAATCTTTCATTTAAAAATAACACTGGACAGTCACCACAATTGTAATCTTATGTGGTGACATCTAAAAAGACTGTCTACGTACCCCGTTGTTAGGCCCCATGTGCTGTTCAGCAATCCCAAGGAAGTTCTGCAGTGGAGTCTTCCCACCTGCTCAGAGACACAAAGCAGTGATGAGTTAGACTGAGAGCATGCAGTTACACAATCACAATGTGCAAACTCCAACTGTGCTGTTAGTCTGAGTTTCGTAAACTCTCTTTTGTACACTGGAGAGCGCCCACAGATGGCTTAAATTGGTGCTTGCTTATCAAGGGATGATGAAACGTGCGCTCATTAATCTCCACAGCAACTGTCATTTTGCTCTACAATGTTTTGCTCAAGATAACTTACTCCATTTTTTTCAAGCTTTGGCGTTGTGGTCTTATCGGCTATGAAGAGCCAGGATGAATTGAATTGAATTGAATTACATTTCAGTAAATTACGCTATTGAGCAATAAGAGTTACTCCAAAATATGTCCTGAATATCAGTGGATCTCCTGGTTTCTGCAATTAACAGCAATATGCATGAAAAAATAAAAATGGCAACACCTGAAACTTAGAATTAAAGATATTTATCCGGTTTAGTCAGTATAACTGTCTTCAATGTATCTCTGGACCCCGAATATACAGCTGAGATCATAATACAGTCCACACAGTGTTATACCAGTATGTACTGTAACATGTTACTTTCACCATTACAATGCATTTAAAACAGGAATCTTTAAGTATGTTAAACAAGCAAACAACTATGTGGTGAAAACCCACACTCTGTAAATGACAAGTGCTTTGACAAGTCACTAGGGATCTTCAGACTGCAGCAGTAAGAGAACCGCAGCAGGGTTTTGGAGGAAAAAGTGTGGGTTTAAAAAGGCAAGTGTCAGGATGTTTACTTCAGATTTTAAAGATCCCCTCCAGACATGTTTTCAGACATATAAAAATACTCTGCTTGGAGCAATAATTGGTGCCTGATATGGTTTATCTACTTCGCCTGCCCCCATTGAAACCTCCAGAATATATGAATATGCAAACATTGTTCATTTCAAAAGCTTGTAACTGTATTGAAAAGCCCTTTCTCAGTGTATTTTATAGGAATTTAAAGTCCCCAAGAAATTGTCTCCAATCTGAAGTATTTCTCTACAACATCAGATTTGAATGTGTCTTGATTGGTGCACGGTACATGACATTAAACTTTCCCAACTGAGCCCTGCCCACTAAAAACACAAATCCATAAATCTTTATTGGGAAATAACCTGGACTGCTTTAACTTTAGGATCCCATCACTTATAGTAAAAAGCTGATCCAGAAAATAACCCACAGTGTGAAGGCACCATTTGTTTTATAGAGTGCATGGAAAATCCAACAGCTGCTGCCCGTTTAGATATGACAGAGATATGAGCAGCAAAGCAAACAGGACCAGCTTGTTGGTGTGTGGCTTGTTCTTTCACGACTGGTGCTGTGGTTGTCCTCGCTAAGCACTGAATGAATGCTAAAAGCAATGCAAAGGTCCATCAGTTGTCAATTGTGTTAATAACTAGTGTCCTGAAGTGGTTTCTAAGTTAAGTGTCCACATTTTGACCTGAGGCCAGCTGATCTGTCTGCAGCTGCTGCCTGACTCAAGATACAGCATGTATGCATTTTTACAGTGTTCACAAAATGATAAAAAAAAGCAGAAGCAAGGGAAGGGCAAATGGAGTGAGTCACTCATTCAGGAGTCAGTGTAGCACTTCCAAGCACATTTCCCTCATGCATATTAGCAGAATGCAGATGGGGATTGTGACCTGGGTGAGCAAAGCCCTCAGAGGAGCGTGTGATGTTTGATCCTGGCTGACAGCGACAGTCCAGGGGGCGGTGGGAGTGTGGTGTGTGTGTGTGGGTGGGGGGGTATCAGGCTGTTAGCCGGAGCCTCAGGGTGATCTCATCGAGCTCAGGTGAGGGGGATTACTCATCAGTGACTCTTTTTATCAGACATGTCGTAGCATTTAGGCCGGGGGTTGCAGCGGCACAGAAGGGTTTACAGAGAAATTCAGCCGCTGGAGCTGTGATGCTCCTGCACATAAAAAAAACACCTTGGCGGTCTTAAGTGGTGACGATGTCTAATGCTCATTTGGCACTGAGGTACAATTGACAAAATGATTTACCTTTTGTCTTGTTCTTGTTCTGGTCTGACAGATGGTCTGTTCTGGTCCTGGTGATCAGCTCTACGTTGGATGCTGCGTACACCTGAAAGAGGAAGAGACGTTTGACTCTTGTGTTCTGTTGACAGTGGCTTTACTTCCTGATTGAACGTATTGAGGTGGTAACCATTCCCTCTGCCGCAAACTGAGTTTTTTCATTTTGTTTGCCAAAAGACAAAAAATGTTTTTGTCACTGAGCCAAAACAAAACCATAACACTATCAAACCATGAATTAGTGTTAGTAGTCTGCAGTATATAGGTCAACGTCTTCAAGCTACAGTCCAGAGCACAATACTGGAATTACTCACTAGTGACCACAAAAAGAAAGTGCTGATTAAAAATTGAGCAGGCTGCTGAATTTAAGTTTACTATGGGCTAAAAAGCCAGGAAGAGCGCAACGCAACAGGAGTTGCCCGTTAATGTTTGTAACTCTAGATCAATGATGCAGAAAATAGATGCTTTTCGGGCAGCAGTATTTTACTGTAGAGCCTGTCTGAAGTGCTTTTAAACCACTAGTGACAGATGGTCCTGGGTGTCTGACACTTGTCTCCCATCGATCCCTCCAGGGGGGCAAGAAAACAAATGGGGTCAAGGTAATACATGTGTCTGCATGAAACATAGACTGCTTTTTTTAACTTAATTTGATAAGCCATCTGGCCTTTTTATGTGCAGATGAATTTTTGCTCATCTGAGAGTAAGGAATTCATGCGTAACTGTCTTTTTAAAATAAATACCATAAATCTTAAAATGAGGAATCTGACTGTCATTATTTAAAAATGTAGAAGGTTATGTCCTCAAAAGTCAAGTGCAAAGGTTTTAAAATCACTTTTGGAGTGATTCGTTGTGCAAATTAGTGGACTATCAGGTATTATCAAATTGAGCTCTGACAGCTGTGGTTGCAGCTGTGGCCGTCTGAGCAGCCCGTGTCCTACCTTGGCTTCATATCCATTCACCGTCTCAGTCTTCTCACTCCTCCAGCCCAATATACCCGTCTTATTCCTGCAACAAAGATTCAACACATCCCATATCAGTTCCCTGTGGTCTCGACTTCGAGTCAACATACAGTTGCAATCGCGGTTGGTGTAGATTATTCGCCTGTCACAAGCGATCTGCAGATATAGTACCTAAGAGAAAAATTGTGAATGCAGTACATTGGAGACTTAAATAAACCATCTCCCCTTAGATTGAAAGTCATAGGGTCTGTTTTTTCTCTATGATATGCAGCCTGAAAACATTGCAGCCATTGTCCTTGTTTGTTGGCAGTGAAGATCAACAGTTCAGTGTGCAATTAGGAAGTCTGCCCAGAAGTTAGTGAGGCATATCGCATCTTCAAGATGTATTCACATCACTGAACTCATTCTGGACTAAACCACAGAAAGTGAGTTTTCAGGGGTGACTTTCCTATGATTATGTTTGGAAGAGAGGGTGGGGCTGGAGAGGGATAGGCATTGCTATCTGACAGGTTGTCATGGTAGCGACTTGTCAATCACAAGGTAGGTTCAACAGGTAGGAGATCATAAACTCATTGGGAAGGTGTTTACTGAGGAAATAGTTCAAGTGAGAAATAGGGTCATTTTCTCATAGACTTTTATACAAACTTCTTTTTTGCAACAATGAGTCCAGTGGGAGAGTCAGTCTGTTGGTGAGTCCACCACTTTGGTCCTAACTCTCTCAACAACAATTACATTTTGTACAGGAATTCATGTTTCCCTTCTAGATGAATTGCATCAATGTTAGCATGCTAACAGGCTAAACTAAGATGATGAAGATGGGGAAAATGACCTGCTCGTCTTGGTCTCCAACTAATCCAATGTCACACAAAGTTATGTCTGTCTGAATTTGAAAGTTATATCATAGCTCAATTACTGGGGGTTCAGTAAACCTTGTACTCCCAGCCCTAAAACAGCAAAACTGCAGTGCTGTAGTTTTTGTGCATGGCTGCGTAAAGACGTATTAACTCCAGGGGTGGATGACCGGTCTGTGGTGCTTGACAAAGTGGTTTGCTCTGATGCATCATAAATAGATTATTGGCATCATGTAGACAGGAGTGCTGACCAAGGAAAAAACACAGAGGTGACACTGAGGTTCAAGTCTGACAAGGAGATGATTACCCCACCCCCACCCACCCCCTCTCCCTGCTCACTCCCCACTGTTGTCCACCTCTCTGTCTTCTTGCTTTTTAGCTGTTAACATTCACTTCCTGTCTGCATGGTCTCTTTCCATGATTCACCTATTGATCACGGTGTCTCTGCGCAGTCTATTTTTCTTATTTTTCCTCCAACACTATCAACTCCCCTGTTTTGGCTTACGTATTGCCCCCCCCTGCATGTCTCCTTTTTTTTCTCTCCCTCACTCCTTTCCCTATAAATCTCTTCCTCCATCCTCTTTCTTTTCATTATCTCCCCTCTGTCCCTCTCTGTCCAAAACTTTCCTTGTCCTGCCATCCCTCCTTTCCTCTCTCTGTCACATCAGTCTTATCTCACAACCTGACCAGAATAAGAAGAGTTTTGCCTTCTTGGCACCCCTCTCCCTCCCTTCTCTCCTCATTTCCACTGCTTTCCATCTCTCCGTCTATGTCACTTTATGTGAAACTGAGCCGTAAAACTGTACAGTTAGCATAATAAAAAGCTCCTAAATTGACTGCACACAAGCTACCTGCTCATCCAATTTTCTTCTATCCCCTCTTCTCCATTCTTCTCCATCTCCCTCTAGTCAGCTTATGTCTTGTCTGCTTCTTCCCTGTCTTTTCGTTCTGCTATCTGCCTCTCCGTCTCCATGTTCACTCACTGGTGCATTACTTGCTTGCATTAGTGTTGAGCTTTCTTGAAGTGGCCTGAGCCTGATTCATAGAGCCTCAAGCTAATTTGTGCTTCACTACCTCCACATCACACTTGCTCCTGACACATTTTTATGGGCATTTTAGCCATTTGAGTTCACATAAGACACATAAGATAAGAATGGAGTATGTTCTGGTTAGATTAAAAGACAGCCAATGTAACTGTGACTAATGTGGTTATTAGAATGACAAGATAATGATTTAGCTTTATTTGTAAGGGACTGTGCTAATCTCTTTTCAGCAGACAAGACAAAAACAATAAATGAGCTAGCGTTAGCTCAGAAAGACAGTTTTCAGTAGTCCCTGGCCATGTTGAAGACAAACCCAAAATAGAATAAAACAGTAAAATCTTGGGGGGGACACCAAACAAGATATGCAGTTGTATAGCAAGTGGTGGTAGCGGTGTATAGTTAAGCTTTTGCTAACTTAATAAGCTGTAGCAGCAACCCCCCCCGAGTGTATTAAAATGAGCATAGGTGTGCAATAAAAATGAGTCTTCCTTTTCATTTGTAAAGTTACAAAGTAACACTTGCTCACATTGCTTCCCGCGTGGCTCTGTTGTAAATAGATGTGGTGTTCAGTGAACTCTAGCAATGAGTTCTACATGAGTTTCTTCCCTCACTACTGCTGCTTCTGTTACTAGTTTCCTACATTTCGTAAAATGCCTTTTGACAGCCACCAGAGAACATGCCTGAACCTGTTCCACTCAGCTGTGGGTTGTAGCGTAGGAGACAGCTACAGTGAAAGAGTGACAGAAATTCAACAGCAACAACAAAAGAGCGATTTTCTCCACTCAGGGGGAAAAAAGCCAACATTTATAGCAGAACATGTCCTGTGGATGAATTGCATCATGTTGTACTGAGGCTACTGTTGGCGGAGAAATGAATTATTGTGCTTGTTCTATGGAAGATTTCTTCCTGTGTCATTGTTGAACATGATTGCAAAGAAAATGAGACCAGAAACAAGCCCTTGCTTCTTGATTGTGAGGGATGTTACACAAAATATTGATTTATAGATTTTTCTATTTAGCTAATAGATTTTGTGATACGGCTGCATCGGAAATTGACACATCACATCACCTAAGTGTCCTTAGTTATTCACAAAAATGAGAAAAATACACCACAATATGACAAAAATGAGATGCAGTGTACATCAAGACCAGATGTGTTTTAGCTTTATAGCTGGCATTTTTCCTCTGTTAATTAAGTAATCAATCACATAATACCTTTATTTGTCCCCAGTGAGTCAATTGGTTGTGCAGCAGCAGCATAAAAGTTCCTTTCTTCACGTCACATTAAAGTAGACTACTGACTGTGTTTATAAGAGACTTCTATCATTTAACATCCTGTATATTCATATTCCGTGTATATCAGTATTGCATCTGACCTCTCAAAGGCGATGTTGCGGGTGTCCAGCTGAGTGGTCACCACAGGGGCAGACAGCCGGGCTGCTACCTGCTCGTCGCTGGGCTGCATCGCCCCCAGAAGGCCCAAACCGGCGGCGTTGCTGCTGGAGGCACCGCCGTTCCCCCGGCCTGGTGAGAGTGCCGTGAGAGACGAGACGCACAAGGTCTCGCAGAACACCAGCTGCCTGTCATGGTCGACCTCCATCACCTCTGCACTAGAGTCTGAGAGGCAAGAGCGTGACAGGCGGGAAGAGAAAAATCAGGGTTATGTTAGTGAGCACGAGAGAGGCTAAGAAACTGACAGTGGGAAAGTACTACAATACAAACAATACAGCCAATGAGTCTGCAAGACACAAACATGCAAATGTACAGTAGGTGTGAAGGAAAGTCAAAAGATATGATGACTGATGTCAGGAGACTGCAGATGGAAAGAGAAAAGAAAAGAGAAAATTAAAGATCCAGGCAGGCAGGGCCAGTAGAAAGTAACACTGAGAGGGAGAACATTATGCAGAGACTCAAAAAGGTCCAGGGAAAAGGTCAGAAAAAGAGGAATAATTTAAAGTGGTGAGAGGAAGAGAGATAAAAATAAAAGAAGAACTGGGTGAAATTGCACAGAGAGGAGCCAATGGAGAAAACTGAGGAGTGGAAACAGCTGTACAATGAGGCTAGAAAGAGGCAGGGTGAGAGGGATCATCCTGGAAAGGCGCGTTCACACCTGCACCAGTCACCAGTGAATATTTGCTGCATCTCACGTTCACTTCAAATGAAGCCTGTGTGACTGCTACAGGAATGCTTTTCTTAAAATTCAGCTTTGTTCAACTGGGTCCTGTAAATTCATATGACTAGTTCTCACGACATGTCCGACCAAATCAAGTGTGTTTATAGTTGTCCGAATAGTTGTACACACAAAAAGTGACAAAATAGTTCAAACCCTGATTCCTCTCTTACCTCAGCACAGCTGACTAATCCCAACATGATGTTGTAGGTGTGAATGCAGGTTTGTTACAGAAATAACTGGGCTAAAGGAAAATATTCAGAACATACTGACTCCTTAACCGTGCAACCCTGATGCATCTGGTACAAGTTTATTTTCTACAATACTACCACAATAATAATTGTGATTATGATCTTTCTGCTCAGTATTTCTTTAATACCTACATCAGACCTACAATATCACCTATGTAATTTATTAATAGTGTAATGTAATTTTTCATTACTGAAGCAGGTATTATTTTGTTGTACTGAATGCAAATGTGAATGGTAAACCGGAAAGGGGAAGAGGAAGGAAGAAAGGGAGAAGAAAAGGAGATAATGAGGCCCAGTGAAGGAATGACAAACACATGCTTACTTTACATTTCCAAGTCAATGTGCCATTTGGCTACATACTGTATTTTAAAGGATTTTCTTTTTTAAATATGCATATACACTTTCCTGACGAGAGATGAGAAGATTGATACCAGTCCATTGTCTGTACAGTAAGCTACTGCCAGCGAGCCCGGTGTCGTCC